TTTTTTTGCTTTTTTAGTCCTTTATTTTTGTTTTTTCCCTCACCCTCATTTAATTTTATCATTTTCCCCAATATATATTCTTACTTATTCCTCATTTTCATTTTTTTAAATTATTCTCTAAAGTGTAGCTTTTTTTGATGCATTTTTGTTAAATTATTTTTTCACGCTCATGTTCCCGTTAAAATATAGTTTTTCAAAAGTCTCTACTTAATTTTTTCTCGTTGCGCAATCATTTTATTTTAAAAGTTATTCTTAATTATCAACTAACTAAGATCTTTATTATTAAACAAAACATAAATAATAATACAATAATTAAAACTTAATATATAGATGTAGCCTACAGAACTACCCTCACGTGCATGGCACGTGACCTCAACTAGTTGAATTAAAAAAGTTGTTATCCAATGTGGTAGTGCCTATTTTTGTTTCTATGGAAATACGATTTGAAACCATGAACTTTCAATCTGTCGGCTTAGAAAACAATTCATTATCCACATCGAAAAGGGGGTGTGCGATACCATAGTTGCTCCCAAAAAATAAAAATAAAAAGGTTAAAAAGCAAAAACATAAATTGAAACAATTTAAGTCTCATTCAATTCGTTTATTTAAATTTTTAATTAAAATTGATATGTAAATTTTTAACTGTAGTAAAAAAAAAATTAAAATTTGTTTTTATGAGAGTTTTTAATTATAATAAAATTATAATTAAAAATTTAAATCGATTAAATAAATAAGACCTTACAAAACAATTTTTGACTCTATTATTTTAAATTAAATTTTTAATTCGCCCTCAACTGATTCTTGGCCCTATTTTAGTTTTCGTTTTCTAATATTTAAAACGCATTTATTGTCGACATCCTGCGCGTGGAAGGAAAAGGAACAGAAAATAAATAAGTTAATAATTCCGGGACCCACCCACGTAAGAAGGTCCCGCAATTAATAAGGCACCTTCTTTTCCACCAAAAGCACACCTACTACGCACATATACACATGGAACCATTACAACTATATTCACATTCTTAGACCCCAAAAAAAGAAAGGTTATTCAGCCTCGTTTATTTCGTTAATTTGAGTATAGAATTCAAATTTTACTACAGTAAAAAGCTCTCATAAGTAATCACATTTAATTTTTTTACTACAGTAAAAAACTCTCACATAAAATCACTTCTCAACTCAAATTAAAAACTCGAATCAGTGAACTAAACGGGCCCATATTTTTTTTTTATAAATATTCTTGAACCTTCATTCTTTATTAATATTTATTTGATTAAAAAAGTTATTAATTAAGAGTAAAAATAATAATTTTTACCTATATATTTTAAGAAATATTTATCTCTTTTTCTCTATATTTAAATATTCTTAATATTGTGTTGATTTTGATCAATTAAATAATACCTTTACTAATTTTGAGGTATAAAGTGAACAACTTAATAAAAAAATTGTTGATAATTTGTAAAGGGAAATTTTTTATTTTATCGGTCAAAATCAGTAGTTAATAAAAGAATTACATATTTGATGTGAATTAAAATCTAAAAATACAATGTTAAGAAAAATATTTTTGATTGGATAATCGGTGCTCTTGATCTAGTAAATTATAATTAGATCTTTGATCGTTTTATTTTTTATAATTAAGTCCTCAAACTTATGGATTAAGTTATCACTCGTTAAGAAATTTTGGGATATAACACTAATTACTTTTTTTTTAATATGATGTGGGACTTATAGCTATCATTTTACACAGAAAAATGAAACCATCATAATTAAATGATGAGAAATTGTAGAGAATGACAGATTCTTAAAACTTAATGAAAGAAATGTAAATAGAAGAAAATAAATGGAAAAAATATCAGTTTGAGAAAAACAATTTTTGAAAAATATGAAACTACCCTCCTCCTTCGTCTGCAACCGGCGACTTCCATTGTTAGTGGCGTGATGAGATCTCACCGGACGTCCACCAGAGCTGTGCGACATTACCGCGCGAGGGGAGCCCTCCATAGCTTAGCCACTACAAACATTCCTCGCTCACTATAGATCTTTGTGAACTCCGATGATGGATTAATCATTGGCAACAAACTCTGACCAGAAATTAATTGCCCTCTTTGTTGCCATAGTAAACGAGTCATTTACCAGGTAAACGAGTCATTTACCATATCTGTCAACGGATATGACTCACAAGATCTCTTTCGCATTGTGACATCGCCGGAATATGACACACTAGATCTCTTTCTCGTTGTGAGATTGCCGCCACCACATATTTGTCGACGGTTTCTTCAGCGGGGATGGCCAAGATCTCCGTTTCAGATCTAGAGCAGCAATGGCTTATGTACATTGTCGCCAAAGATGAACGGAGCGCATCAATAACGAAGAGAGAGAGAGAGAGAGAAAGCGCACGAGAGGGTGAGTAAGAGACATTGTGGAGACAAGAGATGGAGAGGAGAGAGAGAGAGAGAGAGCACGATAGAGATGAAGATGGAGGAGAGCAAGCTACACAAAGATCGAGGAAATAAAGAGAGAGATCACGAGAGCAATGAAGATGGAGGAGAGAGAGCGCAACGAATATGGAAGAGAGAGACATCGACAGATATGGAAGAGAGAAAGCACATGATCGCGAGAGATGAGGAGATAAGAGTATCTGAAATTAGGGTTCTAGGATAATTTGGATATTTTTATGTATATAAAAATATTTAATATACTTTTTCTGCTATCTATGAAAGAGAGAAAGCACATGATCGCGAGAGATGAGGAGATAAAGAGTATCTGAAATTAGGGTTCCAGGATATTTTGGATATTTTTATGTATATAAAAATATTTAATATACTTTTTCTGCTATTTACCACACATTTTCTTGATTCTAATATTAATCGCATCATAAAATATTTTATTTTTCTCTTTCCTCTAAAAATGATAAATACATACACATTCACAAAGCTAACCACTTGAGCTAACCTCAAGTGACCTAATTATCCTTTTTAATAAGCTTAAATATAAAAGTTTAAAATAATAAATAACCTAAAAAATCAGTATAGTTCACATTTGTGTATTTTTAGTATTGATCACTCTAATTCTCGTTTCATTTGATGCCTAACATTTTAATGGCCCAGTTGCCCCTAATATATTTTTTTTAAAACATACTATTTTCTTCCTTTTGGTAGTAACTGTATATTTTCATTTAGAATTGAACACGATGAAAATGATTTTAAAACAAATAAAAAAAAACATATTTGAAAACAATTCTAAAGACGGAAAACAATATTTGAAATAGAAACCAAATCCATTCTTGTACTATATTTTATTTGAAAATACACAATTTATTAAGAAAGGCCAATATTGTTTGTTTTAGAAGGGGAAAGAAAATAATATGTAAGTACATGAATTCAAATTTTTACTATTTATTTTTTATTAATACTCATTTAATTAAATGATATTTATTTACTAATAGATTCTTACCCTATTAATACTCCTTTAGTTAAATGATATTAATAAAAAAATAAATGATAAAAATTAACTCATCACTCTTAAAGATGAGTTCAATAACTCTCTTATTTTATAAAAACATCATAGTAGCTAGACCTCTAAACGGAATCGTCTAAAGTGCATGTTTTAAGGGCCATTGCCCATTGGTGAAAATAAGTTAAATATTTAACTCTTTAGGACTCAAGTTTTTGATATAGTGTTTTTTTCACATAAAATTCAATTTATCTTTTTATATTGTAGTATTTCCTCTCATATAAATTTAAGTTGTTAACTTGAATCAGCGAATGAACGGGAGTTTCATAAACTCGCCGAGTCATCTCATGCGAGTCGTGGTCTGAGTCTGTCAACTAAGGGTGGCAATTCATGTTAGTGAGTTGTATTTGTGTCAATCTGTTTATTAATCGTGTCAGAAAATATCAATCCAAACACGACATGTTTATTAAACGTGTCAAAAATATCAACCCAAACACGTTAACTTAACACACGGCCCATTTATTAATCGTGTTAATCGTGTCAACCCGTATAACTCATTTAAATTAATATATTGAATAAATAACTTATTATAATAATGATTTATTTAACACGGTAAAGACATATTCAACATGTTTATTGGTCAATTTATATTTTTCTTTAAGAAAAATAAATGAATTTTATCAACAAATATTAAAATTCACATTATTTATATTAAGGGTCCGTTTAGTTCGCTGATTCGAGTTTTTAATTTGAGTTGAGATGTAACGTTATGTGAGAGCTTTTTACTGTAACAAAAAAGTTAGATATGACTGTTTCTGAGAGTATTTTACTGTAGTAAAACTTGAATTTTAAATTCGAATCGGTGAAATGAACGAGATCTTAATATGTCATATAAACTTTCATGTTATATAACATATTACTATATTACAGATAATATATAATTAATTATGTCAATTTATGTCACTTCATATTAAAAAATTAACTTTAACTCAATTTATTTATTAATCGTATTAATCATTTAATCTGATTATAATTTAAATCTATTTATAATAAATCTAAACTTACTAATTTTACGTGAATTTTGAGTTGCCTCATCTTATCATTACTCGGATTGCGGGCCTACTGTCAACGCCTTTAATAACACTTTCCTGTTTTGTCATTTCTTTTGTTTCCTTTCCTTTCTTCTCCTGAGCAGCAATTTCCGCTGTTCTTTTTTTTTTTTTTTTTTTTTTTTTTTTTCCCTCTTTTTCCCTTTAGTCTTGTTTTGTTTTTTTCTTTCCCTTTAGTCTGATTTAGTTCTATTCAACTTTCCGAGCTTCCAAACACTCCTTCTCTCTCTCTCCTCTGAGCTTGACCTGGTAGCAACTTCGCTCGTTTGTTTTGTCAATTTTTTTTTTCCTATTACATTGATAACTCTTTCTTTTCTTGTTAAAGAAGAATTGGTCAAATTTCTAATTTTTCTCACTGCATTTGGCCTTCTTGCTTGTTAATTTTCGTTTTTTTTTTCTTAATCTCGTTTAGGAAAAAAAAAAAAAAAACTAAAGTTGCTTTCTTTTTTATTTATGAAGTTTTGGATTATCTGTGGCAATCTAGGCCAACTGGTGCCATTAATGTAATTGTCACTTTTTTTTTCCTTTTCTTTTTGGACTTTTTGGTTCCCTTGAATTTATTTTTGTTTTTTTGGCATTTTGGGTTACAGAGAGGGAAAGTCTCTTTCCTCTCTCTCTCTCTCGTTCTCTCTCTCTCTCGTACTCACAGCCTCACTAATCGTTAACTCTTTTCTCTTTCACAAACGCACAATCACTTTGTCTCTCTAGTTTCTCTCTCTAGGTTTTCTTCTGAATTGGTGAGTTATGGTGAGAAAACATGGATGGCAGCTACCTGCTCACACCTTTCAGGTATATTTTTTCACTATTCTTTCTTTTTTTGGCTTTTTTTTTCTTCTTCTTTTTCACTTTTCAATTGTAGATTAGGGTTTTCTTAAGCCTCTTTTTCTGAATGCTGAAAGTGGAAATGATCTACGTTTCTGTCTGTGCGTTTTTTGTTCGTGTAAGAAGGTCTTGAATCCTTTTATTATTATTTTTTGAGAAATTGTATCATAACTGAAATGAAAAGGAAAAGAAGTAAAATTCGAAACTTCGTTGCACTCTTGACTTGTAACTCTTGTTGTTTGTACATTTTTGTTTAGTACTCTCGAGTGACATTTCACATTTAGAAGAAGACCGTACTACAGTGTTTTAACATAGGAATATGCGAACGTTCTATTGACAGTTTGACATGTCGTGTAGTATTAATAGACTGAAAAATAGGAGCTGCCAGCAAAACTACCAGTTAATGTAATGGGATTTATGCTAAATACACACACGCACACATATATACACGAATCATCTTGTAGCCTTTTTTTTCTTCTGGTATTATGGTTGTTGGTGGACTTCCAAAATATATATATCTAGTTTTCTGCGAGTACATCTTGGTGATGTTTATCTGGGTTGCATGTTGATTATTAAGTTGGGATAATAACAAAAATCTTTCCTGTTTTATTGAAATATTGCGTTTCACCTTATGTTTTCAGAATTATTTTGTACCTAGCCCCTGTGTTCTACAACTTGTGTTAAACCTTTTTAGGGTGGGTCGGTGGGGGGCGTGGGTTAGCACAATTTATTAGGGGGGTTTTAAACTTGATTTTGTAAAAGCTTAGGGGATAATTTTAACTCAAGTTGTAAAACGTAGGGGAGAGATGTGGCATTCCAGAAAACATAAGGTGGGATGCATCATTTCAATGAAACACAGAGATTTTTTGCTATTAACCCTGTTAAAGTATCATTTATGGAGTCATTTTTGGACTGAATTTATCTTTTGTATGTAAAAAATTCTTATCTTAACTTTGGTTTTGGCATGTGTAGGTTGTTGCAATTACTGTTTTCTGCTTGTTAGTGGTTGCATTCTATGCTTTCTTCGCCCCTTTCCTTGGAGGTCGTATCTGGGAGTATGTTTTAATCGGAATTTACTCTCCTGTGGTATGTGAATTTACTTAATATTTCTCTATTATATATTTCTTTGTATAAAAGGTTTACAAATATTAAAATTTGTGGACCCTTGTGAAGGATTAAATATATAGGAGATGGCTTGAAAAATTATTGAGTAATTGCTACTAGCTTCTGTTTCAAGAAAATTGAAATTATCCCTGTTAAGAGCTCAATTTGAAGTATAACCTGGATCCATGTGTTACATTTGGCGTGGTTGTTTGATCTTCCCTTTATAATTTGCTTTTCTTGACTTTCGCATTGCAGGCACTCCTTGTTTTCATTCTTTATGTCCGGTGTACTGCAATAAACCCGGCAGATCCTAGCATTATGTCTAATTTTGATAGTAGGGTGAAAAATAAACTCAATAATATTCATGGGTTATCAGAAAAAGACTTGCCTAGGAAATTTAGTGGTATGGCCACTGGGGAGCATTCTTCCCTATCATCAGCCTCTCAAAGTTCTGTAGCAGTTTCTAGTAAGAAAGGTTCATTAGGAGAACTTGGGAGTGTAGATATTCAAGTAGAAACAACAACCAGAAAGTCTCATTGTAGCCTTGGAGGAATCTTCTGTGCGTTGTTTGTTTATGAAGATTGCCGGAAACAGGATGGGGCTGCTGAGCAGCAGGGCAGTGAAGAAGCTTTGTTCTGCACGCTATGCAATGCTCAGGTACTATATTTTGCGAAGTATGTTCACTAAGTTGGAATGTTGGATATTCATCACTCCTTATTATTGTTATATATTTATCTATCAAGCTATCTATACTAGAAACTTTTTGTGTTACAGTTTTTATGCTGCTTCCATCTTATGCTCCCCTTATAAAAAGCTTCTTTCATTCACTTCTATCAAAATCAAATGAAATTTGTGAAGAGAAATTGTGTTGAGATGTTTTTTTTGTCCCTTAATAATGGTTCAGTGTTTCAGCTCGTTTAGGCATCAAGACTCTTAATAAGTAAATGATGCTTGCATTTCTTATATTTACGTAAAATCCAAGGTCGTACCAGCTCATAAAGTTATTTTGGTGCTCAGTGCTCCTTGCCAATGACCTGCTTGAATGTTTTAAGCTGGTTTAGCTGTTAGTGCCTTTGGAAACACATCCCTCTCTGAGATTATTGCCATAACAGGGTTGAGCTGATCTGGTAGAAAACATATAGCTTATCTTTCAAAAGTTTAGCTAATGATGCTAGAGTTTGAGGTAAAGTTTAAATTTGAATGTTGATTTGATGATCAATCATAAAGGTGTGAAATGGCGTCTTTTCAGAAGTTAGATAGACCTTGAAGGTCTTAGCGCACATCCTTTTTCTATCATATAAATTTAGCTCCGAAGGCAACCCATCGCGTCCTCTTCACAGCGCTTATGTTTTATTTTTTCAGTAAGCTTGAATGCTTCTAATGTTGCAGGTCTGCAAATTCAGCAAACACTGTAGAAGTTGTGATAAATGTGTTGATGGTTTTGATCATCACTGCCGGGTATGCCTTACAAGCATTTCTGAAAGTTCCGAATATTTTTGTTGGACTTTTTAAGTTTTGATCTGTTGCATTTTGGAAGTAACTTTCTCAATGCTTATGTGGCTGCAGTGGCTTAACAACTGTGTGGGGCGCAAAAATTATGTGACTTTTATCTGTCTCATGGCCATTAGTCTTGTTTGGGTATGTTTTGCGTCTCATAATTTTCATGTTCAGTAAATCTTTTGATTGCTAATGATGCTCTGTGCTCCCTTTCAGCTTGTTATTGAAGCTGCAGTTGGTATTGCTGTCCTAGTGCTTTGCTTTGTAAATAAGAAAAGTATGGAGGCTGAAATTATTGATAGACTTGGAAACGGCTTCACTCGTCCACCACTTGCAACAGTTGTGGTACTTATGATTCAATACAGAAGATAACACCCCATTTTTTAATTTTTCCCAATGTCAATTTCAGACGAATTTGTGCTTACAACTGTCCCTCATTTTCTGTAGGCTGTATGTACTGCAGTTTCCATGCTCGCATGCATCCCTTTGGGAGAACTTTTCTTCTTCCACATGATTCTGATAAGAAAGGTCAGTGGCTGAGAAACTTGAGAGATTGATTTCAGTTTCATGGCATTATCGTAAGTTGTGGGGTAGTTAGAGGGACTGAGGAAGTGATCTTATAGTTGGGAACTTTACATTGAGTATGGGCTGTGTATGCAAGTAGGAAATAAGCAACTGGGATTATCAGATTATTGAGGCAATTTATCTTGCAAGATTTCCATTAACTTATCTATTTATTTATATATTTTATATTGAACTAGGGTATCACAACCTATGAATACGTTGTGGCAATGAGAGCCATGAGTGAGACAGCTGGTGGACAATATGTCGATGAGGAACTACCCAATATTATGTTCTCTCCTACAGGATCTGCCACAACAGGCTTGAGTGGAGGAAGTTCTCTCGGTTTACAGTACAAGGGTGCATGGTGTACTCCTCCTAGGGTATTTGTGGATTACCAGGTAATTTCAGGAAGGACTCTTTACATTTGATATATTTAGAAAAGGTATGAATGAATCTGAATTTGATTGCAAAACACAGTTGTTTTGACTTGCGGTTGACAGCTAAGTGGAACTAAATTGCCGACCAAATGAGATTTACGCTCAGATGAATATTGGGCACCATACATCTTTGCTAATTTCATATTAGACTTTTAGCTTATCAGTTGTATAATGTTTTACTTTTTGCTCGAAAGTAGACCTTGGAGTTTCTCAACGAGGCTTTGGTTGGTCTTAGATCTACTTGTAGCTCTGATAAGATCAGAGACAGTGGCATAGGGGCTGGCTCTCAGCATAAATCCAGAAAAAGCTTTCTAGTGTTTCTAATCTCGTTTCCAAAAAAACAAAAAACAAAAAGAGAACAAAAAAAAAAAAGAAACTTTTACGTAAGATTCTCTCTATCATCTTCATCAAGTTTTGAAATGGCGGCTTGGGTATGGGGTTGTAGTTTTAGTATCTATATTGTCCAAATTAATCTGGTAAATCAAATCATTGACTGTTAGTTGGTAATGGAGTTGCTTGATCACTGAAAACTCAATTGGGTTTTCAATTATTTATTTTGCTAGAAGAATATTAGTCTTCTGTGTCAATCTTGAGAGAGAAATATTTTGCAATTATCATTTCCCCCTATTTTTTTCCTTGTGTACTTTTGTCATGCGCATGCCTGGTAAAATGGATACAAAAACGGCATGTCATTAGGCAATATTCATGTTCAAGATCTCTAATTTAATTTGATGTTTCTATTTCCTCTGAGAAAGAGGAAGATATTTTATCTGTGTTGATACGTACAAATATATGAAAAAATTGATGGTCAACTTTTCATATATTGTTGCCTTTAGGATGAAGTCATTCCCCAGTTGGAGCCAGGAATGGTCCCATCAACAGTCGATCCTGATGCAACTGGAGTTGCAGACAGGGGGCAGAAGGGTCCCAAAAAGCCTGTTCGTATCAGTGCTTGGAAGCTTGCAAAGTTGGATTCTAATGAGGCCATGAGAGCAGCAGCGAAAGCAAGGGCATCATCCTCTGTTCTGCGGCCAATAGATAATCGGCGGCTACCTGATGCTGATTATAGCTCCAGTGGCAACATGAGTGTTAGAAGCAGTGTAAGCACTGATACAGGGGGAACTAAAGAGATGAAAACTGATCTTAGATTATCTCCATATTTAAAAGATTCTTTTGCTCCAAGTCAAGGTAGCCGTGATGAGTATGAAACCGGTACTCAAAGCATGAGTAGTTTCAGTAGTCCAAGCCATGTTCATGAACCGGTCACACTTAGCCCTCTACCCCAACGTGCCGGTTTGGGTTCTGCTGCAGCTCCTTCAGTCCCCAGCTTGATGCCTGATCGTCCATTAACTTCAAAGGCAATTTTCCCAAATGTTAACCCATCAACATCCTATCCTGTTGGATTCGATGAAAAGATAATGCAAAAGAGTACTGATCCATTATTGCTTTCAGCACAAGCCACTTCTCTTTTTCGAGATGTGAGACGGACATCTGTTGTCTGGGACCAAGAAGCTGGAAGATACGTCTCAGTTCCTGTATCAGCTTCAGAATCTCGGACCAAACCATCCATACAAGTAGGATTACCAAATTCTAATGCCGAAACAAGCGGTTATAGCAGAAAGCCAGTTATTCCGCCACAAGAACCTTCATCTTCTACAGTGAGACCTCCGTTGCAACAAGCAGAGAAACTGACGTACACAGGAGACTCGATATTCTTCGGGGGTCCGCTTCTGAGTGTCCCTTTTAGGGATGGTCCAAAAAATGACAAGGTTTTGAACCCAAGAGAGGGTCAAGAGAGGGTTGCTATGAACTTGTTTAGGGAGTCCAGATTCAAGCGTGATTCCACCTCAAACCAACTTCCTGTGTTTGTCCTGGGGGGTTTTGAGCACAGCTCGCTCTCTGGGTCTGGCTTAAAATAGCTCGAGCAATGATTTGAATTGCTGACTGAAATGCATTCAAAAAGATTCCTTATCTGCGAGGTTGATCAGGCGAAAGCAATGGAAGCTGAAGAAACCCTACCAGAGCTGCTTTTCGTCCGTGGAACCTTGCCGTCTGAAACTGTCGTAAGCAATACTGCCTCGTGTGATTCCAGCAGTTTCTTGAATGAATCTCCGAGTTAACACTGCCGGCTTTAGGTGAACTTTGTAAATGAGATGATACAGTTTATTATTGCACAATGTAGCTAAAGAGGACCTGTTTGTGTAAACAGAGCTTCGTGTCCTGTTCCTTTTTTTTTTTTTTTTTTTTTTTTTCTTCTTTTTCTTCTTTTGGTCCTCGGTCTAGTGGATACAATTCTTTCTAATTTCATCCCAATTATTTGCCTTCTCATTTAAACAGCCTTGTCAATTGGTTTATAAAAATCTGTAATGATCTTGCATAATGTGAAATTTTGCAGCACCTCCTTGAAACGTTGACGGTGGATGACCTTTATGAGCATGGTGTTAGTTTGGTCTTGAGTTTTTTCTCTTTGTTGATTATCTTCGTATATTTTTAACCAATCACAATTGGCAACTTCATATCAGCTTTAACTTCTGTTGAGTTTGACATAAAAACCTTCACAATATTATTACACGTCAATTTTTAACTAATTTTAAAACTAGTGACATTCATTTTTTGTTTTTCCGTGTTCCTTGCTGAGAATCGCGTGTTCTTTGAGTAGGGACAAAGTTGAATAATATAATATAATATAATATAAACAGCATCCTATGTATGAAGTATGAACTATAACATCCTCGTCATTTGATGCATAAGGGGGCCCAAAAGGCCAGTCCGATCCAGCACCACAAGCTTAAAATATCTCAAAGGCTTTAAAAAAATTTCGCTATCGATGAAGTGACACATTATTCAAATATAGATGGAAGTGAAGAACAAATTAATTTCTTCAACCAATAAAAAAAATAGATTCTCATTCTGCCAGAGCAATTATATTCAATGCCTGCAATTATTATTAATATTAGTATTAATATCATCATCATCATCATCACCACCGTCATTATTGTTGTTGTTGAGTAAGCTTACAAACAAGTGTTTCTAATAGAGCTGCAAGTTTGAGTCGGAATAAACCGGTCGGTCAAAAATTATTGATCCACTAATAGATTAGGCCCAAAAATACTCAATTTAAGCCGAAGTCCCTTTTAATTTTTTTAAATACCTTTAAAATGTTTAGCTTGGCCCAAACCTGACCTTGGTTCGTTGGGCTTTAAGATCGGATCGGGCCTTCCTTCCCCTTTTTAAGGCTTAACCTGTCTAGTTAAAATATTTGGTCCCTAGTTGGGCGGGTAGTATGAATTTTCACTTCTATTTTCTAACATTACTTAATTAGTTGAATGACTGATCAATATCAAAACATGAATCACCATAGATATTACTTCATAATGACAAGATAAAATGATGTATGTAGTTAGCAACATTAGATTATCCATCTACTCTATTCTCTTCAGAACTATGAAATAATGAAGGGTAATTTTCTTTAATGCTCTTTAAAATTTTTGTTATTTTTAACGTAGACTCTAAACTTTTAATTTTTACATTAAGACTCTAAATTTGATATATAATTTTTTTTAGCAATGCAGTCTAATCGATGAAGAGTTTCTATTGATAAATGACAATTAGGATCTCAAATTTTAAAAGTAAAAAGGTTTATGGTACACCTTTTTAACCAATGAGAATATTAGGGTACATTTTGTGTAAAAATTGTTGGGTATTTTATCCATTACTTGTCGTCCGTAGCTATTGGGTAGGGTCTCATTTACTAAAATGAAAATTTAGGGTCTAAGTTGTCAAAAATCAGTAAGTTCAAGGTGCACCGATAGAAAAAAGTAAAGAAAGAAAACCTAATTCTTGGGAACCCATCGATACAGAGTCATCAAACGGGGTGAGAGGTTGTGATGATGTTCGATATTTGTTGATGAAAAAAGGTGGATTCTGCCTCACTCGAGTAAGTTATAGTCATTTGTGATGATAGTGTGCTCGTGAATGTAAGGGCTAAAACTAGGGCGACAATATGGGTCACGACTCGAAAACGATACGAATTTCGCGGTTAGGGTTGAAAAAAAAAGAAATTCAGGTCAGAATTAGGTCGACCTGAAATTGACACGAAAATCACGGGTCAATTTCAGGTTGGACCCGCCTAACCCGAACACGACACGAAACTCATAAAAAACTAAAAAATACATATATTTTTCATTACATATTTTGATTTTATTATGAACTTATGATATCATGATAGTTATAGTTAAAATCTTATAGTATTATTTGCTTAATTTCAATGGATGTTATTGTATTTTAGTGTGTTATGAATTTTAAGTTATTTTTAATATGTAAAAAACTAAATAAAAGTATACAATTTTCGTGTCAATTTTGGGTTCACAAGTCAATTTCGTGTCACGGGTAATTTTCGTGTCGTGTCGTGTCAACTCGTAAAGTGATCGTGTCGTGTTCGTGTTGCGGTTTTTAAAAAATTTCGTGTCACGGGTCGTGTTCGGGTTGACTGCAAATTTAAAAGAAACGATCAAAACACGACACGTAACACGAATTACTACCTCTAGCTAAAACCATTCAAAAAAAGTTTTTACAAGTCATTCATGTAAACACACGACACTTTGATAAAATAGAGTGGTTGTCTACGTAGTTATTCCTTTATTACTATTTGTTTTTTTCGTTGAGAGAAAAAGTAAAAAAAGGAGGACGACCAATATGAGCATATCTTTTTACGCATTATTAATAGTCTTTATATATTAATAAGAATGTTCGTTAAAAGTCCTACAAGTAAGCTTCATTCTTCGGATGAAGAGGTCGTAACCTCAACATATGTATAAAGAGTAAGAGTAGGAATGAATGTGGTTCGAATAACTAGACTATAGTAATAAGTAAGCCTTCATATTTAGTAGCTTTAAAAATGTAACTCGACACTCTTCGAAAACGACACGAATTTCGCGGTTAGGGTTGAAAAAAAAAAGAAATTTAGGTCAGAATTAGGTCGACCTGAAATTGACACGAAAATTACGGGTCAATTTCAGGTTGGACCCGCCTAACCCGAACACGACACGAAACTCATAAAAAACTAAAAAATACATATATTTTTCATTACATATTTTGATTTTATTATGAACTTATGATATCATGATAGTTATAGTTAAAATCTTATAGTATTATTTGCTTAATTTCAATGGATGTTATTGTATTTTAGTGTGTTATGAATTTTAAGTTATTTTTAATATGTAAAAAACTAAATAAAAGTATACAATTTTCGTGTCAATTTCGGGTTCACAAGTCAATTTCGTGTCACGGGTCATTTTCGTGTCGTGTCGTGTCAACTCGTAAAGTGATCGTGCCGTGTTCGTGTTGCGGTTTTTAAAAAATTTCGTGTCACGGGTCGTGTTCGGGTTGACTGCAAATTTAAAAGAAACGATCAAAACACGACACGTAACACGAATTACTACCTCTAGCTAAAACCATTCAAAAAAAGTTTTTACAAGTCATTCATGTAAACACATGACACTTTGATAAAATAGAGTGGTTGTCTACGTAGTTATTCTTTTATTACTATTTATTTTTTTCGTTGAGAGAAAAAGTAAAAAAAGGAGGACGACCAATATGAGCATATCTTTTTACGCATTATTAATAGTCTTTATATTAATAAGAATGTTCGTTAAAAGTCTTACAAGTAAGCTTCATTTTTCGGATAAAGAGGTCGTAGCCTCAACATATGTATAAAGAGTAAGAATAGGAATGAATGTGGTTCGAATAACTAGACTATAGTAATAAGTAAGCCTTCATATTTAGTAGCTTTAAAAATGTAACTCGACACTCTTGAATCTGTGACTATAAATTCACCATAGTACTTCAAAATTGCCACCGCACTCAATGGCAGTTATTCCTACATCCATTCAGCAAAGACCGATCCAAAAAGAGTCACAATATTACTTTGTATGATTGAGGATTCTCAACTACGGATTTAACAATATAATGCACACATTTGAGGTATCCAAATTGTTAATGATTCCCCTAAGCTATTAGGGGAAAAAAAAAAGATTCTTCTAAGAAAAAGAATTATTAAGACATCATTTCATTAGCCAAACTAGAATAAGTATATTCTATATTGAAATATATGTGGTTACTAGCATCATTATCCCTAATTCCCTATCATCATTATAACTGTAATCACTTTTTGTGCTTTCCCCTTAGATAATTTATAATCGCTTAAGCAAATTAGTTCTAGATCTTTTTAGTTATCATGTACCCCATTTAACTTATAAATATTTTTAATTTTTACACCTATTTTCTGAAAAATTTTATTATATTTTATATTATGGGAAAATTATGTTTTTATCCCATTAATAATTGTAAATGTGATTCATAACTATATCTGTCTAATAAAAAAATATCTATTATTTTTATCATACTGTGGAAAGTAAGCTCGGTTTTTTTTTTTGTTTTTATTTTAATTTGATGCCCAATCTTTTCTTTTTCCTGCTTGAATTTTTTTTTTAATTTTTTTTTTATCTCTCTCCGTTCTTTTTGTTTTTTGTTTTCGCTACGGAGATCTCTCTGTGGTTTTACTCATTTTACCACGTGCTCCATGGATTAATTCCAAATTCTATTAACTTGTTATTGTTTCATTGTTTTTTTTTTTTTTTTTTTTTTTTTTTTTTTTTTTTTTTTTTTTTTCCTTTTGTTTGTTTTTACAAACATTCTTTCATTGAACTAGTCAAGTAATTTCCTTTTACTTGTTTTTGTTTTCAATTGAAATGTCAATATTTGTAATTCCGTCGTTTAAAAGGATGCCGTCCGTGCTAATTTAAGATGGATGGAAAAGGATATTATGACAAGAAAATTTCAGAAACATCTTTAGTTTCTAATAATTTCGATTTTTTTCCCCAGAAAAAAAAAGGATGTGTAATCAGAACTTGAAAGGAGGTTCACTTGTGGTCGTTTGAGTTTAGATCTGCTGCATGAATGTACTAATCATATTAAACTCTAACAAAAAAAATTAAAATATTTTATAAGTAAAAATGATAAAAAATTATAACAATTGTTATGTAGTACTGTAGTATAAAACGTGAAAGTCATTATAATATATATTTTTTATTTCTGAAATATTACAAAAATTGTTAAATCGGGCCTGTTTGTTTGTGTTTTCATTTTCATTTTTCACGGTTTTCAAAGCAAAAAAATGAAAACGGGTGTTAAAAACGTGTTTGGTGTAAATTTTTTTTAAAAACAAAACCAAAAACATTTTTGTCTTTTTGTGAAAATCAGAAAACGAAAAAAAAGTGTTTTCATTTTCTCGTTTTCGTTTTCTGAAAACGGATTTCACTTTTTTTTTTTTTTTTTAATTTTCTTCCCCTCTGAAACCGTTTTTGTATTATATATGTTTAATTAATATATTTATTTAATATATTATTATTTAATATATTTAATAATATTATTTATATAATATATTTAATAATATTATTTATTTAATATATTTAATATATTATTTATTTAATATATTTAATAATATTATTTATTTAATATATTATTACATGTTTTTAAAAATTAAACCACCAAACGCAGTTTCAGTTTTTTTTAAAACTGAAATCAATCTCTAAATAAAACTACCAAACGCATTTTTAAAAATAATTCAAAAATAAAGTTTTCATTTTCATTTTCGTACAAAAAATAAAAACGTTTTGGAATCAATTCCAAACGCACCCTTATTCCACTCTAATAAACATGTTTGGTAGTGTATTTTTCTCTTATAATAATAATAATAATAATAATATTCATGAAATGAATGTTGATTTAAAAACGACAAAAAAGAAAAGAAACTTGAATTGGAACGAAGGGATATTGGCGAATCGAATGTGGACAGCGGACACGTTGGGCCTGACAGTCAGACTCAGTTATGCGTCATCTATTTGTTAATGTTAATCTATTCTATACTTCCAATTCTATTTAAAATTCAAATACTTTCAATTATTTGTAGCTTTTCTATACTAATGATATTGTCAATTATTAAATATATAATTACCATAATTTCACTGAGGTGATCCACTTATTGCCAGTCTTTCTCGGAGCTAGCCATCAATTTCAAAGAGCTCCTCTGTTCTTGCAGATTCTTACCACAAAAAAAAAAAAAAAAATGAAGGGTATCAATTATCTCCTTCGATCTAACTTGAGAACCCAGGTACGATTTCTTCATTCTTAAATACCCATTTGTTTTTTTTCCCCTCGCTTGATTTACATCTTCTTCTTGTGTTTTTCTTTCATTTTTGGATTTTAAATGTTGGTTTTTTCACTATTTGCTATGAAAAGTAATTTTTTTTTCCTCCTGCCATGGAACATCTCTTCTTGTTTACCTTTCTTTCTGGTGATCCTTCTAAACAGTTATTTGTTTAAGCTTTATAATTACCTAATGACACTTTCCAACGTAAAAGGGTTATGTATTTATTTAATAATTATTTTTTCCCCGTGCTTAGAAGATGTTGGAAAAGATGAATAATATTTTGTTACCCATTTGACCCTTTTTCCCTTTTATTTATGACTTTGGGAATACTCTCCTGTTCTGGAATTTGCTTATCTTATATATATCAATGCTCTTGTTTTATTTAATCACAAATGAGATTCCTTATTTCTTTTTTAATATCAAGGAGAAGGAAAAAGGAGTTTTTTTTAATATTAAAATTAAAATTAGCCACCACTTTCATAATATGATTTACTTTTGTTGTATTTACTTTTATTTTTATTTTTTGGTTCTTAACAAATGCAAGTGAAAAACAATATTGACATTAAGTTTATTCAATATATCTAGGACGATTTCGTAAGATCATCATATTCTTAGTAAGAAACCTATCAGAGCAAGTTGTTGTGCTCATGGGAACAACTGCTCTGAGAACAAGGAAAACTTTGGGCAACTGCTTTAGGAAAATAAATATGTTTTAGCTAATCTCTAATGTGTTTCAAGAGTTTACTTAAAAATGTGAATGGGAACTGAAGGGTGGAAAATCACCAAAAAAAAAAAAAAAAAGAGTCTAACTCGTTTGATGCTATCGCCAATGTATAATGACGGTCTTAACATTTCTATGATGCTTTAGTGCAATTTCAAAAAACATGATTAACCCAAAACATTGATTTCTTCGTTTTGAGTTGCCTTGCTTTATTGTTGTTCATCCATACTTTCTCATCTCTAAAATATTCTGATTGTTGTATCTTTTTCTACAGCTTGGTTCCTATGCAAAATATGTATATGCTTCCAGAATTCCACAGGATCAGATCCCTCAGGTTTCCTCATTGGCCAGACATTATTCCACAGCAACTGAAGCTGCAGCAAGTGATCCCAAAAGTCGAGGGTATGTGACGATGATGCATTTAAGTTTCTTTTCTTTTTATTTCCTCTCTCTAATTATGCTTCATGTGTTTAGGTTGCACGATTAAGAATTCAAGCCAAAGTGTGCGTCTTATAAGTTATAACATCTCTTAATTTGTCAGGTTTAAGGGGCATGATATGCTCGCGCCTTTCACTGCCGGGTGGCAGTCTACTGACTTGCATCCTTTGGTTATAGAAAAGTCTGAGGTGAACTTCAACACAATCTATCTTTTAATTAGCTTAATGCTAAACAAAAATATTCCCATTCACAATGCAAATATATCTGTTCTCTTTCTCTTTGTGAAAGCTGCTTGGCTTGTTAAGTTAAGACCATATAACTTTGCTGTGGTTTCAGGGTTCGTATGTGTATGACATCAATGGGAAGAAGTATCTCGATGCACTTGCTGGTCTTTGGTGCACAGCATTAGGTCTGCATATATATGTTTCACATTGTTATTTGCTGTGCACTTTTAATGTTGTTTTCACTTTATCATTGCTTTTGTTTGTTTCATTGATATAGATGCTTCGGATCCAACTTGAATTGTAGCAATAAAGCATGAACTAAAGAAGTACTTTTGATTCTATATTATCATTTCATTTTATTCTTCTTCATTTCAATTATTTATTGATTAAAAATCAGGGGGAAACGAACCGCGACTTGTTGCTGCTGCAACCGCTCAGTTGAATACCTTGCCATTTTACCACTCATTTTGGAATCGGACTACAAAACCTTCTTTGGTATTCATATATTTCTTGATTCTGATTTAATAAGTATTATTCAGTATTTTGTTTTCATTCTTTACTGCTACTTCTTTTGAACATTTTCTTGTTTTAAATTCTTTATGAATGTCACTTCAAAATCTCTTGTTTCGGTTTACTTTCAAGATAATCCTGACTACTAAAAGCAATTAAAGCCTGCATTCTGTGCGATGCTCATGCATGATCTATTATTATTTGATGTTAATTCCATCCTACAGGATCTAGCAAAGGATCTCATAGAAATGTTTACAGCTAGAAAAATGGGGAAAGTTTTTTTTACAAACAGTGGGTCAGATGCCAACGACACTCAGGTTTGTTAATTTGTACATTCTCTGTCTTTGGATAAAAATTTCCTTCACAATCATCTTCTAAGATTTTATGAGAAGATTGTAGGTGATAACAGAAACTGAATTTCAATTCTTATAATAGTCATTTTGTCGTTTATATAATAAATTAAAAGTTGAATGAATTATTTTTGCCTGTAGGTGAAGCTGGTTTGGTACTACAATAACACACTTAAACGGCCTAATAAGAAGAAATTCATAGCTCGAACAAAATCGTATTTTTTTGTACTCTGACTGAGTTTTCTCTTATGCATTATTGATATTGTGTATCTTCCTCCTCTTAATCATAGTTTTTGCTCTTTCAGGTACCATGGTTCAACATTGATATCCGCCAGCCTTTCTGGGTAGGATTACATTTATTGTATTTCTCATGGCAAAAAAAAAAAAAAAAAAAAAATGCTCCTTCAGAGTATTCACTAGAAAATTTATGTTACAGCCTCCCTCCTCTACATAAAGAATTTGATTTGCCAGCTCCATTCGTTCTGCACACCGACTGTCCTCATTACTGGCGATATCATCTACCTGGTGGTTTTTCTTTTGCCCAATTAAGTGGCATAACTTATGACATTTTTCATTAACTTTTTTTTTTTTTTTTTTTTCGGTCTATGTCAAATATTTTAAAAGCTACTGGGTGTGACAGGTGAGACAGAGGAAGAATTTTCAACGAGATTAGCCAACAATTTAGAGGATCTTATCCTCAAAGAGGGACCAGATACTGTAAAATTTTCAACATCATCCTACTACCTCAAGTTTATTTGTCAATTTATCACAAGAAGGATGCTTTGTCTTGTGACCTAAACTTATACGGTTGTTATTTCAGATTGCTGCATTCATAGCTGAACCTGTCATGGGGGCTGGAGGTGTGATACCTCCCTCTGCAACCTATTTTGACAAGGTAAGTTTTCGAGGCTTTAGTAACTTAAAACTCTTGCTCCAAGTTGGTTTTAAATGCCGTCCCCCACCAACAACTCCCCCCACCCTGCACCGCCCACCCCCCCCACTCTCATTCTGTACCATTCAAACTATACTGTGTCCAACCCTGAAACTTTAAAAGCGGTGACATGATGCATGACCATTATTTTAGATCTTGAACCTTGGAAATGAGCAGTTAGATTGAATTTTGTGTTGCTTTAGTTTTCCTACGTATAAAATCTTGGTGTGATATTTTTAGTGATGGTATCCAATTCGACTATTTGACCAAATTATAGTAATCTAATGCTTGTTCACACTGCTACAAATCACGAAGCTATTCAACACTACTCTTTTATCGTCGTCATCATCATCATCATTATTATCATTTATTATTATGGAATATGAAAGACATGCTTGTTCATACTGCTACAAACTGCGAACCCTATGCAATTGTAGTGTTTTTTCCCTTAATTATCAGCTGTAGTAATTACCAAAGATATTCTCTCTCTCTCTCTCTCTCTCTCTCTCTCTCTCTCTCTATATATATATATATATATATATATGCCTCCTTTTCTCTGGGGGAAAAAGGGTGTACCTAAATTATCATAATACTTGTTGCTTGATGCAGATTCAACCTATTCTCAAGAAATATGACATTCTTTTGATTGCTGATGAGGTATTATGTGGTATTTTGTCCTTAATGTATATCTTTATGGTTAGGTAGTGAAAGATCTATTTGTTGGTGGTTCTTCAGCTAAGGCTTTTATTATTGTTTTTATGTTTTCATTTAATGTATGATCAAGGTAATCTGTGCATTTGGAAGGCTTGGAACGATGTTTGGATGCGATAAGTACAATATTAAACCAGACCTTGTATCCTTAGCTAAGGTAATGTGAGTTTGTAAATAAATTTAAAGGGTGTATTAACATGCGAAAACTGTTTCTCTTATTCTGATGTTGGATATTGCAGGCGCTTTCTTCTGCGTATCAGCCCATTGGGGCTGTTCTTGTGAGCCCTGAAATTTCAGAAGTTATACACTCCAAGAGCAACCAGCTCGGTATGTTCGAGGAAAAAAACATTGTTAACATTGAAATGTATTTTCACTCTTTTTGTTTGCTTTGCCTGATTCTCTTTACTTCAGGTGTTTTCTCTCATGGATTTACATATTCGGGGCATCCCGTAGCCTGTGCAGTTGCAATTGAAGCACTGAAGATATACAAGTACACTACCTTTCTAAGTCATATAGAAAATTTTCAAGTAAACTAAGGGTGCATTTACTAGCTTTTATTGAACGTAATGGATGGTTAAAAAGAAATGGTATAGGAAGCAAAGAAAAAGTGTAAGAAAGTGATTTCTTTTCTAGTGTTTACTTATCCACTAGGAAGTGGATTGGAAAACAATCTTTTCCCTCTTGTATAGTTTACTAACATTGGGGATGGAAATTTTGATAACGTGAGTAACAAAATGTTCTTGTGCATATAATTATTGGCTAAGAATTAGTTAGGTTGCATAAGTAAGTTTGTGGTTTATTCCAATTCAAGGGGAAACAAAGCCATAAGATAGGTTGGATAGGGTTTCCATTTCCTCGCTCCCCTTATCATGTGGGCCCCATCACATGACAATTATTACTTTTGCAAGTTAACACAAGAATGAGTGGGAGGGGAAAAATGCCCCCCGTGACGCCATTCCTTTTCCCATTCATGACAAGTAAACACAAGCTACCCTTTAGTATCTAGGTTGTGGTGATTCAACCCTATTTGAGCAGGCAACTTTGACCAGAGCACGTGTCTTATGCAGAGCATTATCTTTAGTCTTGTAAGATATCTGAAGGCCAAGGAGTAATTAAATGGTTTTTCATGCCGATTTTGGTTTACAAAGTTTACTCTTCATTGGCCAACCAATGGTGGTCATAAACGAAGGATTGATGCATGTGGTTTGCTATATGATTTAACATGTATTTCTATGTATGGGAGTGAGTGAAACCGGTTCATTGTGGTTTCATTTGATGGGCGTGATTGGTTTTGCTTGGATAGTCATACCTTATCATAATTGGGGTTCCTTGTTATTGAAAGACTCCAAGGATTTTTAGCAAGAGGCCTAAGGCTTTATGGAGATATGCTCAATTTGCTTTGGTCGGAAAGAAATTGGATTTTCAAATAAAAGTTAAAGAGTCTTCTTTTTGGACAGAATTGAGTTTTGGCTTTTTATATTTTCCTCTCTCTCTCTCTCTCTGGTGATTTTTCATTCTTCAAAGAAAAGAGTTTTCTTGCTTTATCACTTTTTTTTTTTTTTTGGTGAAAGTTTCTGTTTCGTATTAAAAGTATGAAAAAGAAAAGAACAGAAAGAAAGAGAGGGAAAGAAATATTGCTGAAGTAGTAAAGAGTATTGCCCCAAGGTTTCAAGATGGTTTAAAAGCCTTTGCTGACAGTCCTATCATAGGGGAGGTACATCTTGTTTCTTAAATTTTTCTCATTTTTTCCATAATACATGACTTTTAAACCATTTTCTCCATTGCGGTCTGCAGATCCGTGGGATTGGTTTGATTCACGGCACAGAGTTTACAGATAACAAGTCACCGAACGATCCATTTCCTCCTGAATGGGGCAAGTCTCCTTATCTTATTCCTGTCCATATAATGTTTTTGAATAGTCAATTTGAAATAGATGCGTTAATTTATTTATATTACTTCTAGTTAAGTAGATTAATCTTGTATACATGTCTGCCACGAACACAAACACACTCTGACCTTCACAAGCACGTACACATGATTAGCATTAAGATCATGTTGAAAGGGCAATTTTCTATCATTTATTACTACTACAAAATAAATACTAATGTTGATCCACCTTCCAACTTAAGGTTTTAGGAGAGTTAATAAACTAACATGATATTAAAGCAGGTGGTTTGATTTTGAACCTATGCTAGTGCTCTCCTAGTTTGTTGTCGAATGTGTCGTTTGTTTTGTTTTGTTTTGTATGTATGTGAAATGGGAGTATTAAATAGTAAATACTGATGTTGGCTAACTTCCTACTAGCTTAAACAGGAGAACTGATTAACTAACAATTACTAATTCATGTCTGGCATAACATTGGTGTGCATCAGGGGTTGGTGCATATTTCGGAGCTCAATGTGAGAAGCACGGGATGTTGGTACGTGTTGCAGGGGATAACATCATGATGTCTCCACCATTTATCATATCTCCTGAAGAAGTTGATGAGGTAGGTTCTCTTTTCTTTATCTTGAAGGTGGTGGATTAGGAAAATTCTAGATTTTGATAGACTTGTTGCCCTTACTAGTGAAAGCAAAAAAATCCTAATTTCTTTGAATCTTGAGACTGAGGAGTGCAATCCTTTTTATTTACTTATAAATTTGCTAAAGCTTAAAGGATTATACGGATATAGGGTGTTGTACGAAGATAATCTTGGGGAAGGAGTGCATTCCCGCATGAGTTATATAAATCCCTTATGAAGTGCATTACTTACATATATAAACCCCGCTGACTCGAATCCAAGACCGTGTTGAGTAGAACTAGTATCTTACCACTCCCCATCAAGTGACCGGTTGTTGAGGAGTGCAATTTGATAATGACTGATAAGAGAAAATTAATACTCCAAAGTTACCCATCAAGTGACCGGTAGTTGAAGAGTGCAATTTGATAATGACTGATAAGAGAAAATTAATACTCCAAAGTTAGCATGTTTAGGTATCTATTCTCATTCTTTTGCTCCACTAGTTCTGACACATTTTTAAAAAAAATTGAGGTTTGAAGTTTATCAAAGTCTACAACTCACCATGTTTATTTACAGTTGATAAGCATATACGGAAAGGCGTTGAAGGCGACCGAGGAGAGGGTGAAGGAACTGAAGTCTCAGCAGAAGTAATTAAAAACGTAGTGAATGATGGTGATGAAAATATGTTTGAATCATGTAAAAGGGAAGACCGGTTATGAGAGAAAATAAGATAAAATATTAATTTGGGATTAAATCTTTTATTTGCTGGTACCCTTTAAATTAAGTTGAACTAGATCCAAAATGATCTTTTCGTGCACCTCAAGAAAGAGGCATGGATCTGCTGTGTCTATATTGTTAGAATTAAATTAGGAAGAGACTTTTCAACGGGAAAAAAAAATCCAAGTAAAGATGCAGCTTCTAATGCTTTTATGTTCAATTGTTGATAAATAAACAGAAACTAGTCATTTTATCTGAAATTTTCTTGGAGCATATTTTTCATTCATCCGTTTAGTTTTATTTATTTTTTTGGTAAAAAGTCAAGAAGTTTATGTGGGCATTCATTTAGGATCTTTATTTCCTATCATGTCATCCATACATAGAGAAGAAATGTGATGTAGCGGGGCGTATTAAAAAAAAATAAGAAAAAGAAGATAAATTCTTATTATCCGTTGATTCGCATAGAATACCAGAAAAACCTGTTGATTCAATCGGAATACCGAAAAATAACTTTTATAAACCTGTTGATTCGTTCACGAATATCAGGAAAATAGGTTTTAATCACCTGTTAATTTGACAGAATATTGAGAGAGTTAAAATAGAGAAGACACTCTAAATTTTATTCATAAAAACTGAACTTCCAAAATAACAATACTGAGTAAGCCTTTAAATAAGCAATTAAAAATACAGATAAAGGAAGCAATCTCAAAACTAATTTTAGAAACTAGCAAAAGGAAACTAAACTAATTTTAAATATTCTAAATTTGAAATTCATAAAAGTTCAAAAATAAGACTAGAAGATATATTAGAAGATATCATAAAACAACTAAAATAAATTAAAATTCGAATTTTAAAATAAAGCATCCAATAAATCGGGCAACTTCCAAATCTGCTCGTGCACTACATCAAAATGTGTTGGAGTTTTGTATTCTATGGAATGGTCAAATAATGCAAATGCACTCTAGGGTTGGCGTCCAATGCGATGGCATGAGTTTGTTTCAATGTTTTAGTATATCTTTTTAATTCTTAGACTATCTCCAATGCAAATATTAATATTAATTGTATATTTACCATTCAAACGTGTGATATGGTATGTTATTTTCATTTTTACTCAAATACATAATGTTATTTAAAATGCTAAATCTATTTTTTCTCATAATTATTAAGTTTTGAAAGTTGTAAAAGTAAACTTTGATGTTTAAAATAATTAAAAAATGTAAAAGTTGTAATTATTACGTGAAAAAGTAAACATTTCAACCAATAACAATCAAATGTCAAATTTCTCATATGCTATACTTCGTGGAAAATTTACCACAAAATATATCATATGAGAAATTTGACACAACAAATAACATTCTATTAAAGAGTGTTTTTTGCACTCAAATATTAAATTTACATTTGACACATCAATTATAACATTGTATTGGAAATACTCTTACAATGTTTTTACTTAGTATCAAGGTTTTTTATAATGGTTAATTTTAAATTTATTAGCAAATTATAATTTTAGTACTTTCACAAAGGAAACATTATTTTTTAACAGTTTTAAACACATTGTTATCACGTGTCTGACAAAGAGAAATACAATAAATCTAAACAAAATACTTTAATGTGCTTTTTTTTATTATTTTTTATTTTTTTAAGTCGCTAGTGCGTCATCCTTTAATCGCAAGGATCATCTCCTCCTTTGCTCACAATTCATGCATTATCGTCATCCTCTACATTGTCCTTTGCAAATGAGTCATGAACCCATATATGTTTATGACTGTCAAAAAGTTGACATTCATTTACAAAAGCACTATAATTACAACTTCTGATGGATTTAGTGAACGTTTTGCTGTTTTGAATTGTTGGGGGTAAAGTGAAATGAACCTTTTTTTTTAATCAAAAAGTTAATATTAAGTTATTGGAGAATGAGAAGAGAGATGGAATTTTTACCAATCAGAAGAGATCGACTCATTGTAGCCTACTCCAATAGGAGTTCAAAGAAAATTTAGAGCCGTTTGGTACACTCGTTTGAATTGTGTTGATTTGAATAGAAAAATCTATGGTTTAAACAGTAGTTCGAACTGACATTTGGTCGTGCGTTTAAAATTTTAATTTGAACAGAGAATATAATCTGAATAAGCATTTAGATGACCCGCAAGAACTATAGTTTGAACTAAAATGGCGTTTGGATTGAAAACAGTTTGGAAATTTGATTCTAAAAAAATTATTTTTAAAATAAAAATAATGATAATGCATACGAAATAATACAACATCTAAAAGTTTATTTAAAAAAATAGGCATTTTTAATTATGGAAATTTATATAAGAAAGGGAAAAAAAAGTTTGGAACACTCGTTAGTAATAGAAACATGAATGTTAGATAATAGAAAACAGTAGTACAACATTAGTTTACAAATAAAAGTCAACGCACAACTAGTACAACTTTAGTCTAGAAATAAAAGATAACAGTAGCAACATTAGTAATTTTAATTTTATATTGAAGTTTAAACATCGAGAGAAGAATACTGACTTTCTACCCATACCATGGTCGTATTTGGTAAGCATTCCACATCTAAGCAACAATGTCATCTCTGAATTCGGCATATTCACTCTTTAACTTTTTCAGAAATTCATACTCCAACCTTGGCTTCCAGTTTATGACACTCTCATCGAGATTCCTTCTCTTGGCATCTCATCCATATATATATATATATTGAAGGAGTGTTGAGGGGATCTATAGAGGATGAATGCGAATCTCTACAGTGAGAGTGGTAGACACAACGGTCAAAAGAGGAGTAGAGAGCAGCGCATCTCTGAGTGAGAGAACAACCAAAATCCAAATTGTGAGGGTGGAAACACTGCAGAAGATTGGTCTGAACAATAGAATTGAGAGAGAAGTAAACTCAGAGTTAACCCGCTTAACTCAAAATAAATTGCCCATTCAATTATAATTAAATGTCTTACCAAACGCAGATTCGGATTGCAGGCGCTAAATCAGGCTGAACTGCTTAACCAAACACGCGCTTAATTGTTAAGCTCCATTGAGGTGTTGACAAGTGAAATCCTAATCTCTAATTGTGCCTTGTTTATTCGCAACAAAGATGCCTTGAACTTAAAGTTCTTACAATCCTGTAGCTATAGTTATAGTGGAATGATAAAAGAGATTACAAGCATTCTTGATAAAATTGCCTTGCAAGTGTGAATCTTGAATCTCTTGGTGAATCCTAAAGCGCTTCCTACATTGGGATATGTGCATGACACATACCATGTTGTCTCAAAAGAACTCGTGAATCATTACACGGCTTGAGCATAATCTAAACTTTAAAGATCAAGCTTTGTCCTCTTAAAATTAGAATTTGTTATCAACTGTGTAAGTTCAAAGATATCTAGTTGCGGGCACCTATAAAAATATAAATAGTAGAAATATCGGTATCTAGATTTTTTGTTAGTATTGATATAGAATTTACTACACATATGTACGGAAATTTATCTAACAAAGAATTTTCGAATAAAACTTTAAAAATTAAAATATTTTCCTTAAGAGATTCAAAGGTATTTGGAACACTTTATTGATTTAAACAAACAATATTCGACATAGAGTTTCAACAGTTTCTTATATAATTTTGGACCAGCCAAGTATACGTCTCTGTGTCCGGTATCTCTTGACGATGAATAGCAAATTGTGAGTTAACCCATATACATCTCTCGATCTTTGCCCGCAATCTGTTGATGAATAATAAATTGTGAGTTAAACCAATTGTGTAAAAGTCGTTGGTTTTTCAATCCTTGGCTATACATCATTGAAAAACAAGAATGATACTCTGATACTATCTTCTTCTTCTTCTTCTATTTTGCTTAGAGGTGAAGAAGTCAGTTTGAACTTACGATACTCAACAATAAAAGGCATTGTAACATATATAGCAATTTGCATATGCAAGCAAGACATAGAGAAACCTATAAACAAAAAAGACACTCAACAAAGTCTCTGAGATATAGCAGATAGTGAGAGAGAGAGAGAGAGTATCAGAAGATTAAAAAATCTGCACCAAAATGGGGTTTACGTAAAGGTTTTCAGGTTTTGGACTCTTTTTGAGCTTTTCTTCTTGCCCGTCTTTCCCTGGAGCTTGGAGACGGCTTGTATCCTTCATTCTCGGCCTCTGAGTCGTCCAAGTCTCTGAAAGATTTCTGCAGATAATTCAGACAAAAAACAAAACATTGTAAAAAAAAAGAAAAAAAAAGTAGAATTTGCTTGAGCTTAATAGATCAGAAAAGAAAAGGGTTTACTTCTCTGATCTCAGCAAAGCTTACGGCATAGAAGGTAACAGCAGCAGCTGCCACAATTCCCAGTATAGGAAGCCCTATTTGATTAAAACCATCCATATTTATCTCTCTCTGTTGTCTCTTAAAAGCAGGAAAATATGTTTATGTTTTATCCTTGAAGAAGGGAATCAAAGGATAAGGTACTCTTCTTTAAATTACAGTCACGTCCTTATATCTTGTCAAAATCACAGTAACACCCTATTGCATTTGTCTAGCACATTTGAACTTTGAACCACAATTTATTCTTTTATCTATTTATTTTTTGCTAAAAGGGTTCTTATTAAAAAAAATTTAAATTTCTATTCAAACCAACAAGATAAATAGTATTCTTAGTAGAAAGACAACATGGTTTTGTTCATGTTGCAGCTCAAGTAAATATAAAAATTTAATGATGTGACGTAATAAAATCTAATTTCATTAATTGTGATTAATTTTCTTGGTCAACCAATCAATTTATTACAAATGTCAGATTAATATTTTGTGACTAAAATTATAATATTGATTGTGGATAAATATTTAAGTAATTATTAAAGCTACACCCATTTATATATGTGTATATACACATATATACATAGTGCATACATATATAAACGAGTTTTCAATGATTATTTTTCCATTATAATTACTTATGAAAATTTAATGACGTGTTGTGATAAAAACTCAATTTCATTAATTGTTATAAATTTTTTTGATCAACTATCTAATTTATTACAACCGTCAAATTAATATCTTATAATTAAAATAATGATATCCATTGATGGGTAAATATTAAAGTAGCCATTAAAACCACAAAATTGTGTTTCTACTTTGTCGTCTAAAGCATGATGTCTTGAGGTCCACAAAATTTTGTGTACCAAAATCCAAACTTGTACATAGTAGGTTTAAAACATGAACATTTCTCTCATCATCATACTAATTAATCCCTTCATGTTGGGTTAATAAGCTGGGGTGGGGAATTGGCGAGCACCTACAAAGAAAAGTTTGGGAGGAGTATACCAAACATTATCAAGACAATCCTTCTGAGTGACTTCTTGGAGCTATGTTAAAACCTCATTTTAGTAGTGTTAATGTTATAACTATACTGCCATGTTAGTGAAATTATATATAATTCATATATATTTTTTGAGATGTATATATAATTCATATATGGTACCAAATAGTCCTTCTTTGGTCCCAATATCACTTAAATTTCATCTATTTGCTTCCTCTGTCGTTCCCTTTTACATGACATCAAACTTTATCATAGAAAATATGCTAAATCATACCTCCACCTTATAACACTATGTAAAGTTGCACTGGGCACACTATAGTGTGACGATGCATTAAAGTATAATGATGAATAAAGACTTGCACATAAGAAATAAGAATTCATTTGTCCACTTTCTTTTTAGGTTTGCTAAGCACATTTGTCATGCTTCACCAAAATCATAATCAAGTTCTTAAAAATAATTAAAAAAAAAGTCAACGAACTTTAGAGGTGTACTCTCATTTACGCACTAGAACAACACGCTGTTAGTTTTCAAGTTTGCTACTATTTAAGTTGAAACGAACAACATAGCTTTTACTGAATTTTTTTTTATGTCGTTTGTTCCAACAAACGACATGTCGTTCGCTTATAACAGTTAAAATCTAACTTGCTTTTGGGATTATATAAACCATTTAAAAAGTAAAATTCTGACTTCCCCAGGATAAAGCCTACGTTCTTCCTTCAAAAGTTTTCATGCGTAGACTTTCTCTTCTGACCCCTTTTTCATTGCGAGCATATATTACGTATCAAACCGAATCTAGAAAGACAATCATTCAACATACAGGGATTATTTAAATATAATATATAAGAATTTGTTAAGTTTTATCACATTTAAATTCAGCAAGCAGGGTGCTTTGGCACCGAGTTTAGGCGCTGCAGCGCTGGAATAGACCTAATTTCTAGCAAGCAGGGCGCTTTGGCGCTGAGTTTGGGCGCTGTTGCGCTGGACTGGACAGAGAGAAGAGCGCCGCGACACTGAGTTTGGGCGCCGCGGCTCTCGGGCTTGCGCGGACAGTTTCTGATTTTTCAGAAACTGACACTGCAGTGCTGTAACAATCAGACACGTTTTTTGAAACATGAATTGACACCAATTCAAATAAAAAATGTGTCTTTTCAAGTCTGGTTGTGTCTGTACGTATTGGTGTGATAAAAAACTATAAAAGAAAAAGAATTGCTGGTAAATCAATGAGAAATAATTCTCTACAATTCTTCTCTCTTCTTGTTCAAAATTTCTAGAAATTCTAAGAGTTCTTGTGTTCTTAGTGTTGTTGTCATTTTGCTTGTAATTAACAACTTGAAGGCTTGTCATATCATGCGAACGATTTACTGCGAACCCGAAGCAATCTCTAACGAGAGGGGGCAAATTACGCTTTAAGGAAAGCGTACTTTCTACGTGTTTCAAGTCTCATTTCCCTCAAGATTTCTAATAATCTTAAAGCATAAATTTGCTGCAATGGAGACCGAAACTACCGTTGCCACTATCAAATTGATGAACCAGGACTTGGTTAAATTGGATCGCTTTGATGGGACTAACTTTACAAGGTGGCAGGACAAATTGATGTTTCTCTTGATTGCATTGAAGATCTCCTATGTTTTGAGTCCGGATTTGGAGCCTATTCCCAAACCAACTGATGATGACACTGAAACGTTGAAGGCGGAACGAAAGAAATGAGAAGAGGATGAGTTGATATGCCGTGGCCACATTCTCAATGCTCTCTCCGATTGTCTCTATGACCTCTACATTAATACATCTTCTGCAAAAGAGATATGGAACGCATTGGAGTTCAAATACAAAGCAGAAGAGGAAGGTACCAAGAAATTCTTAATTTCAAAGTATTTTGATTTTAAATTCTTTGATGATAAACCAATTTTACCACAAGTTCATGAATTGTAAGTAATTGTCAATAAGTTGAGGGCTGTGAAAATTGAACTTCCTGAATCATTTCAAGTAGGAGCAATTATTGTTAAATTGCCTTCTACTTGGAAGGGATATAAGAAGAAGATTTTGCATAGTTCTGAGGATTTTTCATTAGAGCACATACAAAAACATCTTCGGATCAAAGAGGAGTCAAGGGTAAGAGATAGGAATGAAAATTCTTATGAGGCTATTTCCAAAGCCAATTCCATGACTAAGCCCTCACAAACCAACAAGAACAAGAATTTGGGTCCTAAAAAGGATTAAGACAAATTCAAAAAGACATAACCCAACAAGAAACCCAAGGGAGCATGCTTTGTCTGTGGCAAAGCGGGACACTATGCAAGAAATTGCAGCTACAAAAAGAAACCTAGCGATGAGGCTAAGGTGAACTCTGTTGAAGAGGAAGAGATTGTCGCTACTGTGAGTGAAATCCATGCGGTACAAGGCAAGGTTCCTGGATGGTGGTATGACACTTGTGCTACCGTTCATGTTTCCTATGATAGATCTCTATTCAAAACTTTTCAAGATGTGAGTGACAGACAAGAGATTCAAATGTGGAATGAAGTCCGTTCCAAAGTGCTTGGCAAAGGGAGTGTGGAACTTGCATTCACTTCTGGGAAGAAAATCACTCTAGTCAATGTACTTTATGTACCAAATATGAATAGAAATCTAACTAATAGGGATCTTTTGGGTAAGCCCGAGATTAAGGTTGTGTATGAGTCGGGCAAGTTAATCTTGTCTCGAATGGTTCTTTTGTTAGAAAAGGCTATTCCAATGAGAGAATGGTCAAACTATGTACTATTGACAATTCTGTTAATAAAAATGTTGATTCTGCTTATATGGTTGATTCGGTTTCTTTGTGGCATGGTAGATTAGCACATATTGGTATATCAACTATGAAAAGAATGATCAAGTGTGGATTATTCAATTGTGATGTTGATAATTTTAAAAATGTAAAATATGTGTCAAATCTAAAATGATAAAGAAGTCGTTTCATAGTGTTGAAAGAAATTCTCAATTATTAGAATTAGTGCATTCCGATATTTGTGAATTAAATGGAATGATTACAAGAGGTGGTAATCGTTATTTCATTACTTTTATAGATGGTGCATCTACGTATACATATGTTAATTTATAGAAACATAAAGACGAAGCCTTTAATGTATTTAAGGTATATAAAGCGGAAGTAGAAAATCAATTGGGAAGGAAAATTAAAATTCTTAGGAGTGATAGAGGAGGTGAGTACTTTCCAAATGATTTTAATACATTTTGTGAAGAAAATAGAATTATACATGAATGTTCTGCACCTAGAACACTTGAACAAAATGGTTTAGCTGAGGAAAAATTAAATTTTTCTTGAGATGATTAATGCTATGATATTGCATTCTGAGTTGCCATTTAATTTGTGGGGTGAAGCCCTTCTTAGTGCATGTCATATTCTTAATAAAATTCTTTCTAAGAAAAATAAAACATGTCCATATGAGATATGGAGAGGAAGAAAACCCAATATAGGGTATTTCAAAGTGTGGGGGCGTCTTGCTTATTACAAGAACACCGATCTTAAAAGGACGAAGCTAGGTCCTAGAGGGATTAGGTGTGCCTTTGTAGGTTATGCGGTAAATAGCAATGCATACAGACTCTTGAATTTAGAGTCCGATGTGATAGTTGAATCAAGAGATGTAGAATTCCTTGAAGATTTGTTGGCGAATAAGGACAAGTCTCAAAGTTCTACATATGAAGAATTTCGTGAGGAGACATCTTCAAAGATCATTGAACATCCAATTGAGCCGAGAAGAAGCAAGAGAATCCATAAAGAGAAAAGTTTGGGATCGAATGAGATTGATTCTCAACTTATTTCCTTTTACTTAGTAGAAGGAAGTAAGAGTAATGTCACTAGGAAAATTCCTATGATATTACAAGTGGAGGATGATCCCAAAACTTTTAAGGAAGCGATGGCTTTTAGTAGGCCTGTAGGTCGGCCGGGTAGGATCGGCCTTGGGACTGAAATTGGGGCAAGCCGTAATGTGCGGGCTGAGAAAGATTTGGGCTGCAACACTTCTTTAAGCCAACAAACCCGTAACCCTTTGGATTACCTCGGGTAGGCTCAGGGTGATCGGGTTGGTCGGATTGAGCCTTCACAGTGGGGTTCTTGCAA